TCAGAAATAACGGGTGGGGCTCCAGGACGGTTTGTTATTTCAAATGTATTGAGAGACTAGGGGTAGACTAAAGTCAGGATGAAAGGGAAATGTGGAGAGGAAACAGATGACGGGGAGAAGGAAGGGAGGAAGGGAAGGAAGGATGAAGGAAGGGAGTAGGAAGGAGGGAGGGACTTGCTACTCAGGGTGAAGAACCCCAGCCTGCAGCCCTGGTGTGTGCTAGGAGCTGGTACAAGTGCAAGACCTCAAGCGGCAACCTGACCAACCAAAGAGGAGTGTGCACAGGCCAGGGTGAGCAGTTCGGATGTAGGTCGTCCCCTTGGAAGCTAAAACACTTACCTACCTCCTGTCCACAGTGCCCCTGGGCCAGCTGGTCTGGACAAGAGCATGGGTCTCTGGGCTGCTCAAGGCTCCTCCAATGGTTCCAGGCATGCAGAGCTCAGAGTATGCTGAAGCACAACACTGGTTCTTCCTTCCTTCCCCTCCCTCTCCTCTTCATTTTCCTTCCCTTCTTTCTTTTCTCTCTGTTTCCGTTTAGTGGTTGACTTAGTCTCTCTCCTTCAGAAAAATGATGATAGGACACCATCTTAGGGCTCCAATGTGAATTATTTCTAGGAAAATAATTCAGTGTTTAGGCCAACAGTACCAGCTCCCCCTCTCCCCGGGATACTTATAAAATGCAGGATCTTGGGCCCCACTCAGGCCTAAGAAAGGGAAGCTCAGGAGTAGGAGACCAACAGCCATGTTCTAGCAAGCTCTCTGGGGAGCTGACCAAGTTTGAGAATCACCACAATAGAAGGATCCTGAACAAGGAAGCAAGGTGCAAACACATTCAGTTCTTCCACAGAGCTTCCAGCACCTCCAGAAATAGTCACTACCTGCAAATCAGACTTTCCAAATGGCATTCTGGGTTCTGCATGAATTTCTCCAGCAAGCCTTTCTAAACTTATCATGTACTGCTAAATGATTAGATTATTAACTTGATTGGCTCAGAAGCACCAGATGGAAAACAGCTAGAGATAGCTTTTTAAGACTTTAAAAACATTATTATACTGGATTATACAATAACATTCACATGCAAATGTATAATGCACTTTGGGGATATTCTCCCATTCTTCAGCATCCTCTCTTTTTAAGTCCCTCCCTCCCTTTTGTCCCTCCTCCCCCAGGAGTTTATTTCTACTTTCATACCACCTGTCCAAAGATGAGTTTACATATCTATGAAGTCCTGGACCTGTAAGTGAGAGAAAACATGTAATGTTGTCTTTCTGAGACTGACCTAGTACAATTATCTCCAGTATTCATTTTTCTGCCAATGATGTAACACCATTCTTTCTGGCTGAGAAAAGTTTCATTGTATGTATCAAATTCATTTTTCTTGTCCATTCCTCTATTGTTGGACACCTGGGTTGGTTCCAAAACTTAGTATTGTGAATAGTGATGCTTGAACATCAGTGTGCAAGTGTACAGCTAGGCCATTTTGTGGGTCTGCCTTTAATTCATTTTGATTGTATTAAATTAAAAATTTATACATTGGGTGGAGGGCGGCCATGGGGTCTCACTATACAGCTCTGGCTGGCTTGGAACTTACTATGTAGACCAAGCTGGCTTCAAAGTCACAGAAATTGAAACAGAATTACATGACTTCCCACTTTAATTCCCCCCTCCAGCCTCTCCTGCGGCCCCATCTCAAATTAGCAGATTTATTTTCTTTCATTATTATTGTTCTCTATATATTTCTATGTATGCACAGATATATAAATGTAGCCTACTGAGTCTGTTTTTTTTGTGTGTGTGTGTGTGTATAAGTTGCATGGCTGACTATTTGTATTGGATAACCAATGGCATGGTGGGGGTGCCCCCCCCTTTTTTTGAAATAGAGGTAGTTTTAAAAATTCCAGGTGATGACTTCGGTCAGAACTTTTTATAGATTCTTTAGCAAATTCATTTTCAAACAGGTTTGGGAAAGACCAGAGATGACACAGTTTTAGTAAGCTCCCAAAAGATGTCCCTCTGAGTAGCAGGTCTCTGGAGTCCCTCCAGCTATAATACTTCCAAACCCGTGAGTTTAGTTAAATTCACTGTCTCTATGAATATGGCCATGTGTGTGCTAGACTTTGCTTGCCTGTCTCTCTTCCCATCTTGCCCTGCCAGAACCTGGGCGTTCTTTAAGGCCAGGTTTGATACAACCTCCTCCACTTCACTGTCCCCAAGACAGAGTATGCCTCTGTTTCCACGATGGCTTATGTAGCTTCCCCTCTGGATTCACTTTCTTGGTGTCGGTGAGTCATTTGGTTACTGCTCTGGCTCTCAGCTGCATTTGCTCTTCCTTGAGACAGGGTGAGCATCCCATTCTTTCTTAGTCACCCCCGCCTCCTCACATCTGACACAACCCTTGGTACACAAAAGTAGCACATGAATATCGATCACATTGAGTTGAATGGGCTTGAGGCCCTCAGGGAGATCTGGACTGTAAGATGGGTCGTGACTGGTTTTCCGAGTACAGTAAGCAACTACACCATAACAAACCCGCCAACAACAGCACGCAAACCACAAGCAGGACAAGGTGACTGTTCCAACGATTTGATGACAAGTAAGTCCAAGTCACACATACAGCTGAAATCCATACAGAGAAATGATGTGAAATTTTGTACTGTCTGGCACCCATTGGCCATGACATAATTATTTGTGGGTTGAAGATTGGTAGAAACATTTCCAGACAAAAGGTCTAAAAAGTCTTCATTTTTTTAAAACCAGTATACTTTATGAACAATCCTTGTTGAAGTTTAACTTTGTCAGTTTCCTACACCCATTATAAACTTTATTCATAATCTTCTTGACCATAGAAAGCAGGTGTTTTTATTTCCTTTTTCCTGGTTAAGCATCATCTCCATGAGGTTAAAGAACTTATTTAAGGGACTCTGGCTGGATGAGAGGCAAGAAAAGGATCTACACTCAGACCATGCCAAGGCTTGACCACCACGTGGCTGATGTGGCCTCATCACCACATGAACAAGCAGATAGAATAGTTGGATGACTTAAAGAGGTTTACGCTTCTGTGTAGGATATGCATGCGTTTCTCCTTTCTAAGGAATGTACTGTTACCTACTAACCTCTGGATGATGACAGAACCTCATGGGGATGGTTAACATGTGGCCTTTCAATTCGGAAGTGAGAGTGGAGAGGAAGGAGGAGGAGGAGGAGGAGGAGGAGGAGGAGGAGGAGGAGGAAGAACCAAGCCTGTGCCGTGTGCTCTGTGTGTCTGCTGTTCCTTTGCAGCAGGGACATACGGCACAAGCATGGACCACTTGCCCACGGTAAAGAGCCATGGAGGTCCAAGGTCAGACACAGGTTCTTCAGTCAATGAGTGAAGAAATCTTCAACCCTGCATTCACTCCCTCTCTCCTTGGCCATCTGACCAGGGGAGGCATGCTGACCTCCCCTGCTTCTTGATTCCCTCAGGCTCTAGACCTTTGTTTTTCTGGAACATCTCTCTAGAAAACCTAGGTCTTTTTGCCTCTTGGTCTCCACATTTGAATATGACCTCTGTTCCCATTCTTCCACCATTATTCAGAACTGTCGGTTTGTCACTATGGCAGACAGTAATTTTGTATTAATGAGTGAGTAACTGGTAGACATTCCCCATCAGAGAAATGTACCTGAAAAAAATTGATGATTAAATTAAAAATAAATGATTAAATGAATTTTCATTGTTGTAGAATTATTTCAAAAGATGGCCCATATGTATATACATGAAATGAGAGTTGATTTTCTTTCCTTCTTATCTGGTCCTTGTTTTTCTAGCCAAGAAGATTAATGACCATTGCTTCTGTAAGACAAGAGACTCTTGGTCTGACCCAGTACTTAAAACTATACTTTGGTTCTGATTTTCTTTGGCTCCTCTAACAATGAAACTAAAAATGAAAACTGAGCCCAGGGAGGCTGGGATCAAAGTCAACATGTTACAAGAACAAAGAATCTGGAAACAGAACCAGAAATGCTTAGGTCTAACATGGAGAGTAGAACTCTGTGCCACAAAGACAGGTTGGAATGGAACGATGGAGTCAACAATACCACGCAAAGGAGTTGTCATGGAAACACTCATTGGAGAGCAGGCAATTGCATTTTGGAAACAGATTAAAGCAAGTCTTGGTGGTGAGAAAGAGGTGAGAGAGAGAGAGGGAGGGAGAGAGAGAGGAGAGAGAGAGAGAGAGGAAGTCAGACACTGAAGGCGTTTGGTGGAGTTACTCGGCCATTGTGGTGACGAGAGAACATATCGTTGTTATAAGACAGAACATGACAGATTTGAGGGCCGATCTGTCCAGCCAGGATGCCTAGGAGTAAATGTGTTAGAGTTTGCCTTTTGTGGCATCATAGCACTCATGACTCAGCCTGCAGAACAATGTGATAGGTGGGTGGACTCTCTTAAAAAATACTTCTAAGAAGAATAGGTAGTATGTTCATATCTTGCTTTTAGCAGAAATTGTTTCCACTCAAATATTAAGAGGAGAGACCAGTAGAATAAAAATCGCTGCTGTAATGTTTTGATAGGATTTCTGTGGTCCATTTTGAACGTGGACATGAGGGCTATCCAAGCTTCACAACGATTGATTTCCCTGCTTCCTGCCTGAAACAGACTCTGGCATTAAATGGTTATGTAGACTTAGAACATTGGCATGTGTGATGCACATGGATTGGTTTTCCATAAATTACCTCTTAAAGAAGGGTCTGCAGCCCTAGATGTACACACGTGGTTATGAAATTTTTCCAGAGAGGAAAAGCAGAGAGTGAGCCAGGGAAAAGAAAGGACTCTTTCAGCGTCACAGAGGAGGTCTGAGGGGGATGTGAAACAGAGCCTAGGTGTGTGAGGGCCAGATCCCTGAAGCACAGAGCAGGAGCATCAGCAGGGCAGGAAATGCTCTCAGAGATACTGTGAGTGAGGAGAGAGCAAAACAAACGGCCACAATTCAGCATGTCACAAAGGTCAGGTGATACCAGGAATCCTAAGGTCTGCCATTGATTGCTTTTGACTAGCGTGGAGCTTCTGTGTTAAATAATGTAGCTTCTAAGTTTTGTGACCCTGGTGGTAACAGGGAGCTGGCTACAAGGATTTGGGGTGAAATGATAGAACAGAAAAAATGATTCAAGGAGTTGAAATGGCCTTGGCTTAATGCTCTAACCATGGCAAGCTTAGCTAGAGGGAGAGGCGTGTGCAGGGATGTCAAGCTCAGACTAGAAGTCGAAGGAAGAGGTAAACAGTGAGGAGGCTTTGAGACTGGACCCAGGGTGTGGTATTCGACTTAGCTCAGGCTTTGTCACCTGAAAACATGGAATAACAATTTAGCGATTAACATTGTTTGGAACCAAAAGTAAGCAAAGAACTAGCAGTTTCCAGGCAGTAGTGAGTATCAAAGTTGGGTAATAACGTCCTTTTGCTTCCAGACAGTCTGTCTAATTCACAGCACAACTTCTGAGGGCAGAGTGATCAAAGCCTGAGATCTGAGTTCCCGTCAATGACAGGCCAGTAAAACTTAAGAAAGACCCCCTCCCCCTGGCCCCCATCTCAGCCAAGTGGGCTGGGATTCACCACCAGGATTTAATTCTTGTAAAAGATTCAAAATCCAACTCAGGAACAGAAGCAGACACAGAATCCTACAGATTGACAGAGGGACAAATGGACTGAGCTCGGGCTAAGCTCATTTCCTAGAACCAGGCACCTGGCTTGGTGAAAGAGAAAGGAATTCAAATATTTCCAGCAGAAATTATTGAGTGCAAGGATTTCAAGGCTTTCGAATCTTTGGGGGCATGCATTAGTTGGTTTCCACGGCTGACCATGATACGTGACTGAAAGCACTTGAGTGAAGACTGGGCTCACGTTTCAGAGGATTTCAGTCCATCATGACATGGAAAGTACAGAGGAGCAGTTCAGATCATGGCGGCCAAAGCTGCAGTAGTACCCTGGCAGGCCAGACTGCAGACGGTGAGTTAGGAGCTAGGGGTGATGGTCCAAGGCTAGCTCCTAGTGACCTATGTCTACAGGCTAAGCCCCCAGCTCCAGAGAGTTCCACAGCCTCTCTGAACAGAGCCACCTGCTGGGAAAGAAGCATGTAGACCATGAACCTGGGGGAGACATTTCAGATTGCAGCCAGAACAGAAGGTCTGGCAACAGGGGTCTGTGAGAACTACGTTTTTAATTCAGGACATCTTACAAATATGACTTGTCAATGTATAAATTTTACAATAATAAAATTTAACAAAGGAATTTAAGAAATCAGAAGAGGAATTGCAGGGCAGTAATTATCTGTGTGCTTTGCTGTAGCAGTGTGGGGGCTAGTCTGCTAGAGTCCTGGAAGGTCTGCAGCAGCCTGTACCCTGCTGCTTCAGGAACAATGGGCCGCCTGTCTCTTCTACCTCCAACTCTCCCTTGAGGTTTTCCATTGGCAGACTCTAAGCAGGAATGCTGGCAGGATTTCTGGGAAATTTAGTTTCCAGATGTTGTGAGTCAGAGAGGACACTGAAGGGGGAAAGAGCGACCATGGCCACAGGGCCTAAGTGAAAGACATCAATTATTAGGGCGATTTTAGGGGAGGTAGGATTCTAGAATGTGGGTTGGGATGGGAAGGGAGCTCGGTGAGGCAGAGTCTGGGCAGAAAGACTGTGGGGAAGCCAGTTTAAAGAGTCTGTGGCTGTAGCAAACATAATGGCAGCACCCCTGTAGATGGAGGGACCATGAGATGAGCCAGGCAGGGTGACAGGTAGTTGAAATATTACAATTTCTGAGCGTGACAGGATGCTCTTTGTTTTCAAACTTTCAGTAAGGCATACATAGAAAATGAAAGTACCCTTGACTGGGAGCAAAGACAACCAGAACAAAGGACTTATGGGAATCTGTCCCCGCTTTGTTGACAGTTTGAAAGTGTTCTGTGAATCAAACCTTCTTCTAACCAGACATTAATGAAAATAGTTAGAATTTGGGCAATGGTGTTGCAACTGCAAATTAAAAGGTGAAAATCTGGAAGGGAGTCAGTGGAACTTGACAGCGATGTGAACAGTAGGCAGAAGGTGAGGGGAACTGGGATTCCAAAACCTGTGGCCTGTGTGACCTTGTGAACTGACATCATGAACTGAAAGATGGACATAATAAAGATGGAGGTTGTGCAGCTCTGTTTTGGATGCATTTGGTGTTAGGCTATAACAACAGACCATCCATCTGAGAGTGACCAAGATGGAGATGAGAAGGTGAGGGAGGCAGCCTCCATTCCTGCTGAACCTACAAGAGGTGTTTACCTGTAAAGGGAAGTAGTAACACTCTACACATGTGAGTTTGGAGCCACTGAAAAGGACAATATCAATCAGCAAATGTTTTCCCGTCTGTAGTTGGAAGTTTTCCTGTGTTCCGCCTGGTCCTGCAATTGCTCAGACCCAAATAAACACACTAAGGCTTATATTATTTTCAAACTATATGACATAATGCCTCAGGCTTCTTGCTAACTAGCTCTTACATCTTAAATTAACCCATTTCTATAAATCTATACTTTGCCACGTGGCTTGTGGCATACTGGTACTTTACATCTTGCTTCTTATGGCGGCAGCTAGCCATGTCTCTCTGCTCTGCCTTTCTCCTTCCTCTCTCTGTAGCTGGAATGTCCTGTCTAACCTTATTCTGCCTCACCATTGGCCAAACAGCTTTATTTATCAACCAATCAGAACAACACACATTCACAGCGCACAGAATGACATTCCACAGCACTTCCCCTTTTCTGTCTAATCAAAAAGGAAGGTTCTTAACTTTAACATAGTAAAATTACATATAGCAAAACAGTTATCAAGCAAGAATTACAGTTATAATATCTAGTCTATTTGTATTTGGCAAAATTAAAGAAAATATTCTATCTATGTTATATTTGTAAGTCTAAAGTTTCATATCTAATTTATCTTTTATCATAATCAAGGAAAGTTATAAATATCTAGTCTTCAACTATATCAAAGACCTCAGAAGGATATAACTTGACTATCCAGTAGGACCAGTCATGTCTCATTGTCCAGAAAGTCGAAGTTCTTAAAACATTTTAAATGCCATATTCTGTAGGTCTTTGAAGTGTTTGAAGATTACCTACCTAACTGAATTATATCTATGTATATCTAGAAAACTTAACTAACATAACTATAAGTTTGACTATCCAGCAGTATGTAGCCCAAAAAACTTTTTCTTTCCTCTTTTCCCCCTGTAGTAACAAAAGCTATATCCACCACATACCATGTTGTGCGGCTTGCAGACACCACTGTGTATAGTGGCAGGAATCTGCCATGCTGCACTCAAGCCCATATGCTGTGAACCCACCATACTGTAGCTCAAGTCTGCATGCCACAGTGTCTCTGTACCTTGGCATCTCTATATCTTTACCCACATGAGACATGAAGTAGAAAGCTGTTTTTGGCTATGTTATTGTGTGTTTGGAAGCCCTTTTTAAACTCTTTTAGTCCTTATGGAAATTCAAGAGTCCCATGTTGATATGCCAAATGTAGTCAGAAGGTTCTCTGGTCCTGCCAGGCCCCTGCAGTACTGTGGCCTATGTATAAAATAAACACTAAGAAGCTTATATTAATTATAACTGCATGGCCATTAGCTCAGGCTTATTACTGACTAGCTCTTACACTTAAATTAACCCATAGTTCTCATCTATGTTTAGCCACATGGCTTGGTACCTTTCCTCAGTTCTGCCTGTCATCTTGCTTCCTCTGTGTCTGGCTGGACATAGACTCCTGACTCCTCCCTTCCTCTTCCAAGAATTCTCCTTGTCTGCTTATCCCACCTATGCTTCCTGCCTGGCTACTGGCCAATCAGTATTTTATTTATCAACCAATCAGAACAACACACATTCACAGCGTACAGAACAACATTCCACAGCATCCGTCTTACTCCCTAGGGGAGTTTGATGCCTGAAACCCAACCTTTAGCACTTCAAACTGCTAGCTTTAAGTGGAAGCCCTTTAAGCTTTGGTGCTACCCATCTATCACAGTATGAAACACTTGCTTTGTCACACTGCCCCTGAAGACAGTCAAAACATTTATCCATACCAGAGTTCCTATGTACCCAGAGTTCTAAACATGCCTGTTAGGTGATGCTTCCTGCACAGATGTCAACATCAACTCAGACAGGGCATCAGTAACAGACCACAAAAATAATTCTACTCAATTCCGGCTTGATGAACCAATAAACTTGTTGGGGTTACACACAGAAGCACAGGCAAGGGGTTGTTAGGTTACAGCAGAAGCATGGGAAAGGGGTTGTTAGGTTACAACAGAAGCATGGGAAAGGGGTTGCTCGCAAGAACGTGGGTGGCTTCAAGGTGACTGTACCACCAAAATGTCAGTGTGAGTGATGTCTCAGCAAAGCTGCATCCCTGGGACTCAAGGCAGCTCCACCAAAGAGTCTCCTCTTCCACAGCAATTACTTATTGCTTATACAACCTGGACCTGCTAACTTCAGCTGCCAGCTTAACACAGCCCAGAGGGGTCTGTCTGAAGGAGGGAGGCTCAGTTGGGGAACTGGACAGATCCGATTGGCTTGTGGCAATATCTGAGGGATTATCTTTGTTGTGGATTGTTGTCAGAGGGCACAGTCCCCTGTGGGCAGTACCATTCCTTGGAGGTAGTCCTGGGATAGACAAGAAAGCAAAGTCAGCATGCAGTGATCCTCCACGGTTTGTGCTCTAGGTTCCTGCCTTAAGTCCCTGCACTGGCTTCCCTCAGCGATGAACTTCTACTTGGAAGTATCAGCTGAAGTAAACACTTCCCTCCTCTGAGTTGTTTTTGTATGGTATTTATCACAGTAACATAAAGGAAAACAGAGCGGGGACCATGTCTAGTAAGCCTTGTCGCTTGCTGAGCTTCCTGGCCTACTAAGTGTCATGAGTTTGTTGAGCCTTGTAAGTTTTGTTAGCTTCTGGGATCTCATGAGCCTCTGTCCTCTGTCCTCTCTCCAGGAGGGCGTGCTTCAGTTCTTAGGAAACAGCCACACAATGGTGCCCATGAGGGATCAGAGCTAGAAGAACCATTGGGTCCTACACAAAGAAATGATGGTCAGAGAGACACAAGGTATTCATGAATCTGGAGAAACTTGTATGACTAAGTCTTCTGTCTTCATAGGCTCCCTTCATGCTTTATCATTGTTCTTTTATTTCTTTAACAGCTTGCTTGTGGAAACCTCAGGAAATTCTAAGCCTATTTCTTCCATCAAAATGAAAGGAACTCATTGATGAAATCGTGAGTCCATTAAGATTGAGTGGTACATCTCCATTAAGCCATGATTTGCATCATAAAACAGATTAAAATGAAAAATGGAAGCACTCTCTTGGAAAGGAAATGTACAAAAGAACCTTTGAAGGCTCTCCGAATGAAGACTGAATAACACTCCACCAAGCACCAAGAAAACAAGGGACAGAGAAAGGTACTGACTGAGCCAAGGTACTGACTGAAGCCCTCAGCCAGATAAGTGATGTGACTCAGAGCTCAGTTTGGGGCAGACAGCTGAAGCCAGAGAACATTCCGAGCCGTAGGTAAACACTTACATTAAGTATCCTGATGGAGCAAGGGCTTCCACCGCAGCGTGGCTACAGTGGCCTGCGCTGAAGTACGTGTGGGTCGTTATCTCTACATTAATGGAGTCTGGAGAGCCACCCTCTCACCCAGCTAAAAGCCTGGGCTTACATGTGGCTCTGAGTGTATGAAAATATCGTTCATCTCAACCTTTCTCAAAAAGTCTGAGAAAATAGTCCTGTGAGGAGAACTATATCTCAGGAATCTAGATTACTAATTCTGAATTAGCAATGCATGAAGTTCTCCAGAGTTCTGGGAGAGTGTTGGGGGAACATCTTTTGCCTATCAGGCTGCTTTTGTTTCTTGTACATTTTTTACTTAGACAAGCACCAAGACCTTTGGCCAAAAAGAGAGACTGGCTTAAAGGACTGGAATGTCTGGGAGAATTAGCTGTTTGATGGAAACTTGACAGATAAATGAGCAAGAGAATGATTGACGGTCAAATTCCCCTGGAGGAACCACTGCGCTGGTGTATGAGAGGCAGTTTGTCCCAGCTCGCAGGAACCTGTGGTACCAACTCTTCAAAATTCCCTGTTCAGTGACTTCATAGGAGGTTGAAATTGGCCACAATGGGAGTGTTTACACTGTCAAACCTGGCAGCTGTAGCAAATCGGGCTTTTCTTTTTACTGTTCTCAGCTTGTTGCACCCACCACTAGAAAGTATATTATTAAATATTTATCGGTATTCTCCTGGAGTTTAATTGAAAGATAATTTGTCCAGCAAAGCAGCCACAGCCCTCTAAAGTTCCACCTCATGGTTCTCTGAGCACAGGAATTAGTCAAATCAGTGACTATGTGGAACTCTGTGGAAAAAGGGGAAAAATTCTTGGAAAACATACCTGTGTGATGTACTCACCAGTGAGCTACCTGAGAGTCAATATTCATAGAGCTTCACGGTCGTTGCACTCAGAAGTGGTATAGAGACCTTCAGGGACATGACCATATGATAGAAAGTACTTAGACATGATGTGGGCCTTGTTCTCATTTGACCAGGCATGTCAGATACAGGATGAGATCCAGAAAGCTGGGTCTCAGAAGGACTAATTTACAGGGCATTTTGATAGTTAACTAGTTAGGCTCTACTGCCAGGAGAGCTCAGACAAAAGACACTTGGGCTCTAGGATGCACTGTGAGCACCGTGCACTGAGGGGCTCTGAACCCGTGTGGGGTAGCGGTGATGTGGCAGAAGTTCCTTCTCAGACGTGCTGAATGGACATGTTCCAGCTGTGATGTCTGAGGCTGTTTCTGAGAAACACAAAGATTGGAAGTCTCATCTGCCTACCTTCTAGCTCCCAGGATTCTTCTGAAAAGAAATATTGTTAATAACAATGTGACCTTTGACCGGAAGGTAGGAGAGAAGCTGTGAGACACCGATTAAGGAGTATAAATTGGTATACACATTGGATATCAATATGGAGGTTTTTCAACAAACTAAAAGTAGAACTACCATGTGACTCAACTACACCACATCTAGGTTATTTGCTTGAAGGATTGTAAGTCAACATACAACAAATACATTTGCATATCCCTACATACTATTGTGCTGTTCAGAATAGCCAAGTGTTGGAAGCACGCTTGGCATCCATCCGCAGATGAGCATATTAAAATTGTGGCATATGTACACGATGAAGCCTTAGTCACGATGTACAACAGAATTATGTCATCTGTTGGAAAGTGGATGTAACTGGAGATTGCCGTCTGAAGTGAAACAAGTCAGGAAGACAAATGTCACGTTGTCACTCATTCGCAAATCCCTGAACACACATAAACACAAAAAGCCGTATATATGAAAGCAAAGGAAGAGTTGGAGCAGGAAGGCCATGAGTAGAATGGGGAATCAGAAACTTTGGGGGTGTGAATACGGTCACAGTACTTGAGATACAGGAAAGAATCTATTTTTATGACATCATCACTATATAGAATGAATGTAGACTAAGGGAAAAACTGGCTTGAAAGGACAACAGAAGGCAGAGGAAGGAAAATATTTTATTCCACTTTGAGGGAGAGGTTGGCTTGTTTGAAGGAGCCTGGGACAACCCTGCCTTTGTCTGATAACGCCCTCTCTCTAAGCCTCCAAGCCATATGTGTTTAAGACGTCGAGGATCGGCTCTGTGGAGCAGTGGAGTGTGCCTCCTATTTTCAGTGGCTGCCTGGCAATAGTATGTCAGTGTCATAGTGCAGCCACGTGCGAGAGTGCATTGACAATGCTCGCTCTTCCCAGTCCTGAGACTCAAGCTCAAGGGATGTCTTCCCGGAGAAGGCCAAGAGGGGCAGTGCTTTGTAGAGGGCAGCCTGCTCAACTGAAGGCTGAATCCGGAAGTCAGTTCGCTTCTGAGGAGGCACTACTGACGCACATGTTTAGAGAAGTATTTTGAGTCTATGGGAGCTGCTTCAAGAGGTGATTTCAAGTCTGTGAAAGGAACACGATAGGAACACTGGCCCATTAGAACTACTGGCTTCCACAGGTGGGCGCACACCTGCCAGCCTCTGCTGGTCTAGCCTCAACCTCTGGATCCTGGACCATGGAAGCCCTCGAGGGTCCCTCAGCTGATTCCAGAGTCACCGAGAAGCAGGAGTCCACCATCAGTCAAGAGATACTGTCATGGTCAGACAGCTAGACACACAACACCTGTGCTCCTGATATGGAACCTGGGCCTTATTGGACCACACAGAACAAAGGAGGCAGGCAGGTGCTAGCGCAGAGTCTGAGTTTGTTTATGTAGTTGGTGGGCAGAAGCCTGTCCTCAGACCTCGGAGCTGAAGAATCGGGTCTGGGGTTTATACTTCTCTAATACCCGTTAGGTAACAAATGGGTTGTAAAACCTCGTCTCTCTTTTTGTCCTTTCCAGTTTTTAAAAAGCACCCTTTGATGTCACTCTGACGACGTCTGCCACGACATGGGTGCCTCAGTCATCAGCCCGATTCACAGTATGCTCCATGTTTAGCAGCTCCCCGAGAAGGATTCCAGCCTGCATTTAGCCCTAAATAGTTACAAATACCGGAGTAGCAGCAGCAGCCCTTCAAAAAGCCTTTTTAGGAAGTGTCATACCAGGGCTGGGATGACACACAGGGAGCCACAGGTGAGAAGAGCTCCAGGCAAATGGGAAGGCAGGGGAGGAACGGATGGAAGGCCCCAAGGTGTGCGCTGTGGAGCAGCCTCCCCCTGCCTTGAGAGAGTTGTACGGAAACATTTCAACATGTTTATCTGTCTGCCCAACCCTATTTAGTGAAGAATGATTGCTCTTTGCTTCTTGTTACCATGTTCAAATGATGCTATGGCAACCAGGCTGCATAAAGGGGGAGGGGGTGGGGCAGGAGCTGCTTAGCAACCTGAAGGTTTTTTTTTAAAAGGCAAGTCCTCGTTTTAACAGTAACAGTTTTTAAAATGCCAGTTTTGAGGACTTAAAAAAAAGAATATTAGAGACAGCAAATGGGGATGGCGGTAAAGGGACTGAATAAGGGAGGTGGCGGCGTCTCCTTCAGAGCTGTTAGGAACATCATCATGGCGACTGTGGGAGCACAGCTGGGTCTCTGTATGGGTAAGGAAACAGGCTCTCCCAGGTGAGTGATGCCACCAGGGCTGGCGAGCCAGTGTGTGTGTGTTGGGGGAGGGAGGGCAAGCCTGGGCTAACAGGTAGGCAGCCTGATTTCAAGTGGAGTTCTTTTTATAGAATCTCATTAAGAAGCAAAATGTCACCTGGAATCAGAGGGAAAAAGAAGAAATGAATCAGTGTAGACTGCCAAGAAGGTGATAAAAGAAGAAATGAATCAGTGTAGACTGCTAAGAAGGTGATAAAAGTTGACCATCTGTTCCTTAGGTAGAAACCCAGAGAGGAAAAAAAATATCTTTGAATGTACTTCCAGGATAAGGTTCAAATGCTTTCTACAGGATTCATTTGTTCATTCATGGGAGAGAAACAGCAGGTGACGAGCAGAGCAGACAGGCTGGAGTCCAGTGCCTCACAGGCTGGAGGTGTCTGGTTGTGGAACACTTGGAATCTGGAGGAATTTCTGAGCAGTGGGAAAACCAGATATGGGTGGGAAGTGGTTGCCTATGGGAAGGACCACTGCCATTCCCTGACGTGGATAGAAACCGAGTAGGAAAACAGATTTGTCACCATAGAGGAGTCCATCCATTCAACCAAGACCACGTGAAGCGAAGACTGCTAAAGTCCCTCTCCCCTGATTCTCACTGGCTGCTGCCCTTGGCTGGCTGTTCTGCTGTTCCAGCCCTCTGTTTTCAGACACAGATTGGTCTGTGATGCAAACACTGCCCATACCTGCAGTGATGGTCGCGTTGACCTTTACTGGGATGTTCAATAGCAAACAAGCATAACACTAAGAAAACACACTGTCAGACTGGAGAATGTTCTCTGAGGCACGGACACAATGGGTTACTG